TCCTAAATAGACTCAACGGATACTTAATCACCTTAAAATAGCAACAGCGCTTGAATGCATCCTTCACCTGAGCCTGGATTCTCTGAGGATCATTCTTCGTGCTATGGAATGTGTGCTAGGCGATGCACTGAAAGATGCACTTGTTGTTTGTCTTAGGAAGTTGATTTTATGCTTGTTTTCGCAAATAATTTTTCGAATAACAGCCTCGCTATCTCAAAGAATATGGTCGCGATGGTAGACAAAAATCTTGAATGCAGTGATCACTTCAGCTTATATCCAGAGCTGGTGTTGTCAGCTTGTCAGCCAACTCCATAGACCGAATATTCGAAATCACCTTTTCGAATGTCAGCCTTGCTGTTGATAGAGACAGGCTTATTGAACACATAAATGTTGGCGAGGATCGGATAGTAGTAGCGAGTATCATTAGGATCGATCTTGCTTACAGGTTCGTACCCAAGAGCAATCATCACCTCAAATACACTTGCCTGGCTCGAAAGAACGTTCTCGAGGTTATCGTAGTTATCAGTAGCCTCGAATACCTCATACAGGCGTATTTCATGTGATTACCATTGTAAAAACTGCAGCGGGGCTGCCCTAGCTTGCGCTTAGAGGAAGCGTAATTTAGGTCACCGACCTTTCGTTCGTTACAAGAACCGGTACGAGTGTAGCGGATCGCAATCCGCTACCTCCAAGAGTAGTTAGGACCTTAACCAAGGCTAATCAACTTCGATTCAAATTCAAAACTGATTTTATTTTTTTTTTCTGCGGCAAAGCCGCCTAATTTTGAGCGCATAGATTTTCCTAAATATGTATAGTAAAATCGAAATACATATATCAATATGTCTATCCCGTACCGTATTCTTGTTTGGGTGTGGTTGCACAATGATCTGGCGTGACACAAAACTTGTTACCAGGGTATGTGTAACCCCGTTACAAAAACGGTATTTAGGATCAGCCTTGTAGTGTTTCTCAAGTGTTTCAGTCGAAACATTGTACTGCTAAGCTACCCATCTTTGGTAGATTAATGATTTATGTAAGCAAAGTTTTGCCCAATCAAGCGTTGCTTACATAAATCATCTTACCCGGTCTACCACGCACCTTAACACGATAGCTCTTACCCCATTTGATAGGTTACATATTTAATATCTTCAATCCTTCGACTTCTATATCTTAATCATCTACAAAATATTCTAAAGAAACTAACCAGTTCGAATATTTGATTTATATTTTTTGAAGGTTTTAAGTGACTATATTGGGATTGACTTATTATTTGAAAAAATATTAGTTAATTAGGTCTGTTTTCATTATTAGCTTCACTTTCAATTTCGCTAAGGTTTGTTTTTGGCTTGCACGGATTTGCTGTCTATTCTCATCGTCGTAGCACTTTTGGTATGACAAGTGATGTCGCGTGTGAGCTGATTGATAGTAGCGCTTTTGTGCAACTTTGATTTCCTCTTTGTTAGCAAGGTTTTGTTCAGGTGAGTACGTCATCAGTAGTATAATATTTACTTTATTTACTAGAAAAAGCATTGATTAGTTGCCGACTCTTCAGATGGCAATTCACTACATTTCAACCACAATCGCATGCAAAACATTCGATGAGCTCATCACTGAAATTGAAAGATACTCGCAGATGCATTCATTACATGACACGGTATACAGACTATAGCTCATCCTTTGTTTGGACTTCGGTATCGCGGCAACGAAGACGGTAATTCGGGGATTACTCCGTGAAATGTGTAGAAATAGGATTGATACCGCTCGTTTTTTGCTGAGCCATAAAGTCCAGCACCAAGATATCCCGCTGCTACTTCATTTTTGGTGCACACTAACGCGCTTCCAGATACACCAGGAGCTGACAAAGAGGAGAGAACCATTCGGTTTCCGCTCCAACCGGTGATTCTAGCTGGAATGATGGCATAAGCATGATCAAAAGCTTGATCTTCAAAAGCGCCAGGAAAACCGAACACGTCAACACTCATTCCGTAAGACACATTGAAGGACATGTCGCATCGGTCGAGCTTGTTATTTCGTGGCAAAACAACTTCGAAGATTGCGAAGTCGAACGCAGCCGAACTACACCAGCAAATGTCACTGTCGAGACTGAATCGGTTGACTTCTTCCGGCTTCGGCCTATCGGGAAGGAGTTGCTCCACCACAACTTGAGGCTTGTCTAATTTAGCTGATGATTTCATTGCTGCCGTCCGTAGAGATTTACGACGTGGTCGCTTTGCAACATCAGCATCCTTATTATTGGTGACATTCTTTTTCCTTCCACTTGTTTTCATCCGGGGGTGGCGTCTCAGATACCGTTTGATTTCCGTCGTGAAGTCAGCACTCAAGTGATCAGTGAATGTGTCGTCGACCCAAAAATGCAAGTTTGTCAGCAGATACAAGTGCGTCGACGTTAGATCCACAACCACCGCTGTCCCTGAGCATACATCTCCTGAGGAAACTCTGACAACTGACTTCCACATTTTCGATTGAGCTTGAGGGTCCACAGTAGACAAGTCCTTTGCGCTCCAAGCGCCATCCTCCACTGCACGCCCCGGAACCACCACCAGCACGTGAACAGGGCCCTTCAGATCCTTCACTACTTTTTTGGGCACTTGAATCCGCACTTTATCTTCTGAAAGCCCAACATCACCGATTGTCGCTCGCGCAGATTTTAGTAACTTCAGATCAGTTGTGTCATTCACACCGCTCATCGCTTCTTCTTCCGTCACCCACGCGCCGCGGCCCTTGTCTTTCTTCGCCAAGAAAAGCTGTAAGTCGTCGGCATCAACGTCTTTCATTTGTTCATCTTCTTCCCCTTGATCTCTTTCTTCAACACTGAAACGGACTCAGTATCGTCGATGTTCACCACGAACGCGCTTCCCACCTCACCAACCACAGCACAATACAGCACCACCATCTTTCTTCAAGCCGGCGGATTCTGGAATGATGATGGGAGAAAGAGAATTATCGGAAATATCGGCGTGTCACAAAGACTTCCATCCAAAGATGAAGGCCACTTTGTCGCGTTGTTGAATGGCACCTGGCGATAAGAAAAAATGCCGGTGTAATGTGCTGCACAACGAGATTAGCATGAGTTTCGCTTCGAATGAATTCTCCTTGGCATGTAATCGTAATGTAGCTGTGTGCGATGCTTGAGGAGGTCTCCTTTGCACCAGATGGCGTTTAAAGATGGCGTCTTTAATAACCGCAGCGGTTGCTGAAGAAGCTTTGGAACTACCCTCGATACTAATGAACGCGAAAAAAATGACGTCGTAAAGTTCTAAATATTACTATTATGACAGAGATACTACTGAGATTTGGGTGGAAGTATTTCGTATTAGAATCATCTGCTTTGCTTGACCTGGAGTTAGCAAGATCATCACGAGAAAAGTGTCCTACATTCTTGACGTCATATCATTTCTCCAGTCTCGCAGGGAGCACAATTAGTATTGCAATCAATTATTTTCAGTAGTTAGCGCAATCAATTTACTAGCCGTAACTTCAGTGATATTACAAAGAATGGTGAAGTCAACAGAGTTAGCATTTTTACTATCGGACAATCTGACTAAACAAATTACATGTTGATTTGCAATTGCAATTATGATCAACTTATTCAATATACTTCGAATGCAGACTGTGGTTGAAGACTTTGCTGTTGGTCCTCACGGAGGAATTTCGCAAGCTTTTTTGTTGATCTGTTGGAACGCTCACGATTTTCGATTTTGATCAAAACCGTCATGTACCCATAATAAATTTATGTTGATCCGGCAAGCGTATCCAACCTTCATTTCTATTTTCCGGATTACCACGATCGGATGCATATTCTTTCAACATTTTTCTGCTTCAGATTAACGAGGTCATAGCCGAGGACAATGTTGACTTGTCTGACTCTCATAAACGTTTTCAAGCTTGACATAAAAATCACCACAGTGAATTCCTTCCTGTACGTGCGATTCCATGTGGTTTCCCTTGTAAAAGCGAAAGTGAGGGTCAGTCTTATAGTCTGGAGATAAGTTCTTCTCCAGTCGCTTGAGACTGACCTTGTACTGCTTCGCTGTAAGCTCTAAGATTCTGGGGCGCGATAAGTTGCTCACATACGCCATCTTCTGGTCCTACCACGAACCTTAACTTGGACTTATCATCACATTCACAATTCCCAATATTTGTACTGAGGTATTTGCTTTATCTGGTTCCAGCAGGAACGTAGTTGCAAATGTCGAGCATTTTCATATTCGAAGTCGCGATGCACATGTAAGATGGGTCCTTTCAGACTGATTTGATACTGTCTGTTCCAATAACGGCCAACAAGTCGCTCTTGATAAGGTTATATCATATCTATCTGAATTAAGACCAAGAAGTGGTACCTGATCGATGGTCTACTTTAGCTTTAGATAGTCTAAACGCTTTTATCTGCTGATGAACCTGCTCAGGTAATTGGTTCTACAATCATGTACGCTGATCAGATCGTAGCTCTCGGATACAGTGCATTCGTTCCTATCAGAGACGCAAAGACAGGAAGAGATGCGATCATGGAAATACATGTTGGAGAGAAAAGATAGTATATATCGCAGTATGGCGAATAAAGCTGTTAGATCTGCTATTGCTTAGATAGCAAACGTCTTTAAGTCTTTAGTTTTTTGCGGTTGGTAAGCCCTGAACAAGTCATTACCGTCGATGTGGCCAACGCTTTTGTTGATACGTTCCGCTGAAGCGATATCTGACAGTAGCATAGGCTAGAAGCAAAGACGCAGACGTAAAAATATAAAGTCATTTAATTAATACAGACACTTCAAAATTCCAAGTTTAGACTGCATACGACTTCGTGGTGAATATTGATTATCAATTAGCAACTTCACTTTCATGCTGATTGCATTATTACTCAGCTCACATGCGAAATACGCCAAATTGTGTTTTCGGTGGCATTTCATGTAGCCCGACGCTAAGACTGAGTCCAAGCACTTTGCGAGTGTCTTTTGGGTCGATAATGCCGTCATCCCAGAGACGCGCTGTTGAGTAGTATGCAGAGCTTTCTTGATCATACTTGTCTAAAATCGGCTGCTTGAAAGCAGTCTCTTGTTCGGCAGACCAAGTTTCTTTCCGACGTTCATAATTTTCACGTTGTACTTGAGCCAATACACCCGCAGCCTGTTCCCCACCCATGACCGATATACGAGCATTTGGCCACATGTACAGAAAGCGAGGAGAAAAGGCACGACCGCACATGCCGTAGTTACCAGCACCATAAGAACCGCCAATGATGCACGTTATCTTCGGTACCTTTGCATTCGCAACTGCCATGACCATCTTCGCACCATCTTTCGCAATACCGCCATGTTCAGCCTTTTTGCCGACCATAAAGCCCGTAATATTTTGCAGAAATAGCAGGGGAATACCACGTTGACAACACAATTCAATAAAATGTGCCGCTTTCACAGACGAATCCGAGAATAAAATACCATTGTTGGCCACGATACCGACAGGGTTTCCATACAAGCGTGCAAATCCAGTGACAATTGTCGTTCCATACTCCTTTTTGAATTCGTCAAGACGACTACCATCTACAATACGAGCAATCACTTTACGCACATCAAAAGGTTTGCGTGAATCGATAGGAATCACACCATCAAGCTCTTCCGGGGAAAATACGGGTTCCACATTTGACGTCTGAGTAACAACTTGCTCTTTCCGGTAGTTCAGATTGCTGATGATACGTCGCGTAATATCGAGCGCGTGCGCATCATTATTAGCATAATGATCCGTCACACCAGATGTACGACAATGCACATCAGCACCTCCTAATTCCTCAGGAGTAATGACTTCGCCAGTGGCAGCCTTCACAAGAGGCGGACCACCTAAAAATACAGTACCATTTCCCCTCACAATAACACTCTCGTCCGACATTGCTGGCACGTAGGCGCCTCCAGCTGTGCAGCTGCCCATAACTACGGCTATCTGTGGAATACCCATGGCCGACATATTCGCTTGATTGTAAAATTCCCGCCCAAAGTGGTCGCGATCTGGAAAAATGTCGGCTTGGAGCGGTAAATAGGCACCGCCTGAATCAACCAAGTACACACACGGTAAACGATTTTCTTGTGCAATCTCCTGCGCTCGTAAATGCTTCTTGACTGTCATAGGAAAGTATGTACCGCCCTTAACAGTTGCGTCGTTGCCTAGGATCATACACTCTACGCCACTTATACGACCGATACCCGTGACGATCCCGGCGCTGGGTACGTCGCCCCCGTACATATCGTAGGCGGCAAGTGGAGAGAGCTCGAGAAAGGGCGAGCCAGGATCTAGTAACGAATCGATTCTATCACGCACAAACATTTTGTTTCGGGACTCATGACGCGTTCGAGCTGCCATACCACCACCTTGACGTGCCTTTGTCACACGCTCTCGTAACTCATTTGTTAGATTGGCCATGTGTGCTTGGGACTCTTGAAATTGCGCCGAATTGACGGCCAAATGTCCATCTAAGAGGTTGGAAGATGAGCGCAATATACCTGCTAGTGACGCAAAGCTTTGGCGACGAAACAAGGACAGCCTGAGGCCTGAGGCTTTGCGCACATTTGATAGCATCATCATAAAAGATTATATTGGAGTGAGGGGAAGAGCTGGTTGGTTGTATTAGGTGGTTGAAGTTTGCAATAAGACGGACAAATACGCAGATCTGAGAATGAGCAAGACCTTTTTATGACGATCATTATCAGGCATTATATAAACATCGCCATGCACTCGAGGCAATAAATGGCATACAAGATAAACGACTTGGGATCAACGGAATGGGGGAGTCAATTTGGATTTGGTGACATACTGTTGCGAATGTAGTATCCCTTCGAGCGAAAAAGACTGCGGTGGGCGTCTTTCTCCCCTTTGACACGAAAATATTCGATTCTACTGAGGCAGTATTTGAAATGGTGTAGATAAGCCTCCCAAGAAATCCACAAGCTCTGAAAACAATAATATTTTTAGTTTTCAAATTAAAAGTATTCTAGACTTTTTTAAATAAAAACTGAATTATATGACTAGCCACATTGAACTCCAAAATCTGGAAATAGCAGGTTTCAGACAAGGATCCTTCTCTGTCACATCAACCAATTGCGCTGAAAGCCGTTGCTCTCAATCTCTCGGGCATATCAACAATGCGATAAATAGCTGTATAGGATTAAGTAGTCACGTGGACGTAACAGCATCACATGCTGAGGTAATACCTGAGGTAATTCTTCGACTGCATCGCAATTTTGCTTGGCTGCTCCAGAGGGTAGCCCGCATATAATGTTGAACAGGTAGCAAGAAACGCAAAGCATCAATTCTTTCTGTTCTGTCTCTAAGATTTGCCTGAGAGTTTGAATTGCAAATTCTCGTTGGTCTGAAAGACACTCGATGACCTTTTCCAACAACCCAGGATTGAACAACTGTGTATTGGTGGGATCTAAGAATATCGCGACGTCTTTCCCCATTGGGCCTTCAACAAGAGCCATTCTCTTCAAGTCCACAGTGAATTGTTTGATTTGAGCCGCTTGCGATATTAAATTAACGGCACGTCGTTGCAATTTATTGACAACATACCTGATTTGCGAGGGAATATTGTTGGCAGTTGCAAGCAATATCTACCAGTGCAGATCCGGAAGGCGTCATAGAAATTGCTTCTCTCATGGCATAGACATTCAAAAATACGTTTTGGCGGTGTTCCATCAAACACCGACTGACGCTGCGCATGAAATACCAGCGTATTGCTGGCAAAAAGGACATACTGTTTGTTATTGATCACAGAATCGATTTTACTTCCTCGAACGACAAATGCTGTTAAGATTTTTAAATTCGTTGATTATCGAGTGCTTTAAATGTGTGTTGTAATACCATGCCAATCTGGTGTAACAAGCACCAAACACAGATACAACAACGTATTTTTCGTAACAGTATCTTAAATACGCGAATCAATGTCGGATCCGTGCCCAGTCATATTTTTTGCTCCAACTACTTAGCATTCGATTGGATTCTAAGAGCTGTCAATGCAAAATGCACCAAAAAGGTTTTTGAACATTTGGTACATGGCTTCTCCTGTGTGACTTCTTTGAATGGTACTGAGACACCATTGAAAATCTGAATTTGCTAATGGTCCTCACATCAAGTTATCAGGTTCATTAATTGTCGGTTGATTCATCGAAGGCGACAAATAACGTATTCTCAAGATTCTCCATGTTTGTATGGAATGAAGCAGCTCATACAGCTCGTGCATACTTGACGACTTTAAATTTATTGCAGTACCCAGTTTGAGGAAAGAAAAAAACTTCTTTTGCTGCTTTTGCCGCTTCATCTATCATTTGGAACGGCATTCCTTGGCTCAAAAAGTTAACAACAAATTCAAACTTGTAAGAGGGGCTATTCCCAACAGTACAACTAGGTCGTTTTGACGTGGAGGGAGAAGATTAGTCCTGACTTGTATGGAAGAAGGAAAACCTGAGACCTTTGAGATAAGATTGCAACTGAATTCAGATGGATTGATGGCTCCTTATCACATGCAAAACACCCCAATGGCTCCTAGAGTCTATACTAACAAATTTGGGCTCCTGATTTATCAAATAAGGGGGAACTGAAGTTTAACCCCAAGGTGAGCTTATACAATATTTTGGGTGTACGGTGCTTGAACTTCGAAAAGCTTGAACTTCAGTCTTCGTGGAATGTATCAAGTAGAAGTGACTGGCTGACGCCACCCACTTCGAAAGACAGAGACACGTCGGTCTCGTCACCAGTGTAGATTCCCAGATAGGAACCAGTATTTTGTGTCAAATAGAATGTTTTTGACCTCATGCAAGATGTCACATATGCATCTGGGAACACCATACTAAAATTCTATCAATTCCTGCAGTGCATACACTAGGTACATAGAGTATCTCCATATAATTGCTAAGTGTAGCCCATTACATCATCCCCTCCCTAAAGTCAAGAGTACTTTGATACCTTTGCAGATCTTTTGGAGCAGCTCACTTTTCGATCAACAACGAAGTAATCAAAGGAAGAAGCCAACATGAAAAGCGTTTCTCGCCTAAACGGCAAATAGCGGTCCAGAACTTTATGTCATTTCCTCCATTCTCAACCGCAATGGAGACAAAAGGTTCTACGTGAAGCGTTTTTTCTCGCTGGCGTCGGATCATCAATCGTGATGATCCAACCCAGCCCATCGCAGCTCAACTTAACCCTCGGCGGACATGTGTTCGCCCTGAGAACGAGAACAAGGTAAAGCGTCTGCTTCACCGAGTCGGCGCCGGTTGGACTCTCAGTTACGACCAAGCACGACCAAGCTCTGGTCGTCGTAGTATTGCCTCTAGCAACACCACAAGCGATTTTCGTAGCTGCTCACCACTTCAGGGATATCAGACTCTAAGGCCTGCCGAGGTTTCCACGTATCCGAGTCCGATGGGTAGCTGTGTCACCGAACTCTGTAGAAGCGTTTTTGGTTCAAGTGCGATGACGGATCGATCGATCCCCGTGCCCAACAATCATCTCAACCACCCCGCGACGCTAAGTCCCATTTTTGAAAAGGGGGTTGAACTTCAAAACGATTAAGCGGATCTGGAGATGGAAGAGAGCTCATCGCGTGCAAATCGAGGCATTGTAGCAGCGTTACTCGGCACTTGAAGATTGCTGCGAGAGTCTTCTAAAACTTGTTGCATATCAAAATTCAAAACTTGACTTTCTGACAAATGATTCCGCCCAATGCTCGGCTTTGTAGTATGGTTTCAACAAGTTTATGGTGAACTTGTTCGTTTTCGGCAGGACTAGAAGTCTCGTGAGTTGTCTCTCCGCGCTCTGTTACAGAGGCAGGCTCTACCACTTAGGTACTCCGTGATGAGTACCATTCCCGTCTTCAAGCGTTGGAATCAGTAGAGGAGCAATCCTTTGGTGTCTTCCAGCGCTGATAGGCCACGAAGAATCCCCAGGGTAAAGAGTTGGTGGCCCTTTGTAGACAAATGAAGAAACATGTGAATTTCCGTGATCAGTTCGATCATCTACCAAAGGAATTCGAGGATCGGAAGATCCACTCGAAAGCACACCCACATAAAATTTACGATGTAGGCGAATGTATGTTTGGATGGCTAGTATAATCACCATTGCGTTTCAATACCTTCAACGTTTCAGTGAATATAGGCAAAAGCTCCCTATTGCCCAAGTTGGACACTGCATATCCAGGCAGATTTGGCGTGCTAGTAGTACAAGATCATTAAGCTTTGTTACCCTCTCGTTCTTGATTCTGCTCTTCTCTGCTTGTTCTATTTGCAGATCCTGAGCTTTTGCAATTGCGTCTAGAAAACGCACAACGGCTTGTCTACTCACGATAAATTTGTCGGGAGCTGTTCCTCACGATTTGTCGTGTCGTCTAGGGAACTCATTAAGTCAGAATTCACTTTCAAATCTGTGACAGCATTCAGGCCTGATTGTGGATCTACAGCAATATTTCTTTCCATACTTAAGGTAGAAGTCTCGCCCATAATAGAAATAGGTACTCTAGGCTGAATCCAATAGCTCACAGAAGTGGCAAGTGCCCTGTCGAGACATGCGTAGAGTTGATTGATGCAAACTTTGGGAGAGAG